CCAAGCCAGCTGCAGGGTCTCCGAATGGTTTTGTTTCTCTCAAGATGCACTCGCCGACATGAGGCCAATTACCAAAGAGACAAACGCACCTGCCTGACTCTAATTACAGCCCTCTCTGGCTCCCCGCTCTCCTCCCGACACAAAGATTAGGACCCCACAGAGGGCAATGCTCCCACTCCACAGGCCGGCTCTAATGACGGGATTAATCCCGGCAGGCTCTGTTTGGCCACAGTATCACCTCTTGTTTGGTAACAGGGGGCTCCTGGGCCCTTCTGGCCCTCACGAAACCCAAGACGTTTGCAACCCGGGGAGAAAAGGCACGAACTGAACAATGATGCTATGCAACGAATTCAGTTCTCTCCTTAATACGTTTCTAACGACTGCATCTCATAAATGCCGCGTGCAATCTGGGAAGAAAGCTTGTCACCGCGCTTTACAGACACGAGTGATTTATGCTTCCAGGAGGACACAGACAGCCCTGCGAGATTTATTGCAATCACTCGCTGTATCTCCCGTCTCTTTAATTGTTTTCTCTGCAGGCGGCTTCAGCCCCGCTCTGCAGGGGAGGGTGGCTCGGTTCCGACGCTGCCTTTTTCCTTCCTACGCCTGACTTCAGCCCTGGCAAAGGACGCTGCGGTTCCATGTGCTCCGGCCAGACCTACAGCAGCAAAAGATGCCACGTGCATTTGCAGCGTCTCAGCCACGCCGGGGCTAGGATCCGGGTGAAGCCCGTCTGCCCAATTCAGCATGCATCCGGGGCTTCGTCAAGTGTTCGGCATTGCGTTGGGGTCCATCAAAGCAAGCAACGCAGGGAACAGCGCATCCCCCATCACGGCCACAGCCATGCACCTTGACTTTTCCAGTTTCCTTTGGCTTCCCTTCCAGCAGAAAGCTGGGAGCAGGATCGCCTGAACCGAACTGGAGAGTGCTGAGGCTGCTGCCAGTACTCGGAAAACACGGAGGCTCTTCCGCTCACAATCGGACCGATCGGCCCCATTTGGGGTCAGGAAGGACTTTGCACCCCCAGGGCCAGACTGGCATGGCCTGTGGGGTTTGTCTTCCTCTGCAGCACGGAGAGGGGGTCTTCTTCCTAGGTATATCATAGATTTCATAGACGTTAGGGCTGGAAGAGACCTCGAAGATCTTCCAGTCCAGCCCCCATCATGAATCAAGTACTTCGCTGTCGTTGCAGTGGTGGGGCCTCGGTTTCTCCGCTTTTCCCTAGGGGCAATCGTGGTTGCTTCTGGCTATGTCGTGGCTCCAATCCAACCTTTCTATATGGTTTGCTCCCAATACTCTGCGACGGCCACCGCTGCTGCTGTTGGTGTTGCCAGATCTTGTGGGGTTCAGGGGGGTGCCGCAGGGCGCCTCAGGAGATGATCCAGGGTTTGCTTCTCCAGACACTGGCTGCTTGCATGGAGGCCCCATGATTTCATGAAAGTTGCATCTTCCAAGACCCACTCTCAATCTGTTCAGGCTCCTCAACGGCTCCATTCGACAGCGTTGTCACCGAGTTTCTCCCATTTTTTTTGCCAGAGGGTAGTAGCTCTGGCTGACTCCGGTGATGTGGTCAAGGGTGCGGGAGAGGACAAAAAGCTATTTCTCAACGAGAGATGACGGTGCGCTGGTTGATGCCCACATAGCAGGTGGCAGTCGTCTGACTCTTGTCCCTGCCCATCAGCGTTGCCTGTGCATTGGAGCTGAGCATTATCACAGGCAGGAAGGGACCGCAAGACATCATCTAGCGCAACCAGGGATCGAGCCTGCAACCTGGGTGGTATTAGCACCACTCCAGCCGACAGAGCTAAGCGGTTGCATGGCAGCTGCCTGCACCAAATCCCAAACTGGAGCCTCTTACCCTGCACAGAAACAGGTGCTGGAGTTGCAGCAGAGTCCGTCAACCCCGGATCAGCCCCGTCAGACATCCTCAGCTAAGACGATCATGGAAGACAAGCATCCTCGACTGCGAGGGATTGCAGAGGAAAAAGAGCTGAGCGTGAGACTTCACGTGTCCGCTGTGGGGTTTCCTCCGGTTAACGGTGGCCTGAGATGCAGGGCCTGGACTCCACATGGAGCGCTGGAGGCCGAATAACGCTGACATCAGAGAGGCAGCATGATGTCATGTGTACGCACGCAGTTGGGGAGCCGTGGTGGCAAGCGCCAGGGCAGTGTCCTGCACCGCTTTGCAGAGGGGCCGGGCAAGCGGGTGCTGACGGTGCCCGTGACAAAGGAGAAGGAGCAAAGCGGGCAGAGAGGGCAAGGGCAAGGGCTAAAAAAAAGATGCTGAATGAGGAACCTGCGAGTTGGGGCATCCCTAGGAGAGTGGGTTTTGCACAGGGTGATTCAAGCAGCAGAGTGAGATGCCGCCGCTGTGCTGAAGTGCAGTGGGGGGTGAGCACCTAATTCCCTTGGGCTCCCAATGAAAGGTGAGCCTGCAGTAGGAGAGCCCCAGCAATGCTGCTCATTTCCGTGCCTCCCGCAAGCATCCTGTGTGTGCAGCTCAGCCCCGCTGCTAGCGGAAAACGGCCTGCGTGTGCATGCAGGAGCTTGCTCATCCACCTGACCGGCTGGCTCGCACGAGGGCCATGGCACGGTGCACAAGCGATGCTCCTAGTGAAGGACCTGCTCCCACGGCACTGAGCAGCCTCAGCCCCACGTTCACGGCTGAGACTAGAAGGAACTCAGCACCAGGCAGGAGCTGCCCCCTGCCATCAGTGCGGGAACACGGCACACCTGGGGCGAGGGCGACGGGCGACGCAGCTGTGAGCTCCCTCCTGCACACGTGGTCGAAGAAGCACGTTCTCCAGAGCGATCTTCCCTTGCACGGTGCCGAGGTGCGTGCACATGCACGGCTTCCCTTGGTGCGGTCCCTGCGTCCCGGGGCCAGGTCTCCGTCCAAGCATGCAATCTCCATTCGAACACAGGACTTGCAACAGATTTCCACCCCCACTTCGCACGCCCACCTGCCCTCTTCTCAAATCACCTCTCCCCCGTTGATTTCCCACACTTCACAGCGGAAGCTGTCGGCAGCAGCGTTTCAGGGATCGGCTTTTGGTAACTAGTCGGGCACGCAATTTTTCCCCCTTAACAAAACATCATTAATGATGTTAATAGTTCTTTCCCAGGACTCAAGCCGGGGACAATTTTTTTCAACAAAACGTCAAGGCTGAAACTTGCCTTGGGAAAGAGCCAGTTTTAATAAATATCTCGAGACTCCTGAATTCGTTGTTTTTTTTAAAAAAATTCATGGTTTAAAAAAAAAAAAAAAAAGACAGTTTTCCTGTTCCGACCCACTTTTCACTTCAAACCTTGAGGCAATTACACTGTAAAACTGGAAGTGGCCCAAGGGAGACAAAAGATTATGACCAAACCAAAATATTTTGACGTTTCTTTAAATTGGTTTTTCGATTTGGAAAGCATTTAACAATGGCACCTTTTCTTCCTGGTGTAGGATGGAAACTATTGTCAAGATCTCAAAAAGTATTCACAGGATGTGGAGCCAGAAACTCAACTCCGAATACAACGCTTTTAGGTCTGTAGCCTGGATTGTGGGCACCGGTGAAAGGCTGCTGTCGTTTGCAGCTACATCAAGGAAATCAGCCCTGTGTGATCAGTTTTACCGGGTGACCAGAGCATCATGCATCCAAGCCTTTCCTACCCCGGGAGGATTTTAAACAGTTTTCCCCACCCTGGCTGATGTCTGCAGACAGACCTCCGGCCGCCACGCACAGGTTTAAACCACTGCTTTACTTTATACGGGATTTCAGTGGGGATAGTTAAAATGATGGTTAAGAAAGGGTTTGGCCTCTGGAGCCTTGTCCACATTAGGGCCGTTTCCAGTGCTCAGTGCTGAAAGGGAAGGATTTGCAACAGATCAGAGGATCCAGGTGCTGATGACACGCAGCATCTCTAGCACTGCATAGCGCACGGCAGGTCGGGAAGGCAGCCCCGGGGACCGGACCCCGCTGATGCAGGGTGTGAGGTGAGCAGGGCCCTAGAGCGGGCCAGGGGAACAGGTAACAGCTGTCCTAGATGACAGGGGGAAAAAAAGAGGCAAGAGTTGTGTGAGCCTTGAATAGCAGTCGCTGTCTGGACTTGCTTTGAGGTCTCCCTAGGAAGGGAGCATCTCTCGTTGCAGAGGATCCCTCCACCACGCTGCGGGCATAGGGCACTGCTACCTTCAGCAACGCAGCCTTGCAAGTCCTGCAGGACCTGATGTGAGAGGACACGTAATGGAGAAATATCTCCTCCCGAGCCAGGATGAGCAACAACCCAACACGAGGCCTGTCCTCGTGCATTTGCGACACAGGGTCACAGACCAGACCTGTATTTCTTTCCTTCTGTGTGTAAATGCAAAAAACATTGAATCTGTGTTTTCATTAAGAAAACGCCCCTCCTTTCTCACTGGGGTTTTGAGCTCTTTGAAAGGCAGGCTCTTAGACAAGTCTTACTCCTATTATTTTGTATGACTAAATCATTATTAACAAGAGCCACAAAGGAAGAACATGTCCCCCCGCTGCAGCGGGCTGTATCCTTTGGGAAAATATTATTAGCACGTGCGCAGCAGGGCCGGGGGCCTGGAAACCTGCAGCTGCAATGCAAGGGGATTAGTTCAAAGAAGAGATGCTGCCTAATCTCCTGAGCCTGCTGGGGCAGCCCTTGTGCATCCCACATTCCCTCAGACCGGCGCCCCCATAACTTTCATCTGTGGGCCCGGGCGCAGAAGAGACGAGCCCATGGCTAATTGCACACGGCCTCATTATCCTTCTGGGAAAAGAGGCTTTGTCGGGTCAAGTTAGGGCCAGCGTTCAGATTGGGCAAAAATCGAGCTTTTATGAAAACTTTGATTTTTGGGTGGAAACAAGTTTTGGGAGGATTTCAACACATGCCTGTAGCATTCACCTTAGTGCTGTGCGGGAGAGACTGATTGCTCCGTTCTCATTGCCTGCCCTGAGGATATGGCATTTGGATGGGTAGGTGGAAAGGCTTTTTAGAAATACTTCCATCTTTGTAATTGGGCGCCCACGGCCTATGGGGATACGACTTTTGACCCGGCTGCATCTCTTTCTGCTCGCTACAGACTCCGCGATGTGCTGGTCATACGCCATCGTCACCCAAAGGGACATTTCCAGCGGTGCGGAGGGTGGTCCATTGCCCATGCCTTTTGGGGAGAAATAGAAGCAGTTAAATAACAATTCATTTCGACATTAAAAAAAAAAAAATAAAAAAATGCAATTTTCCTCCTTTAGGGAAAAAGCGGACAAAGAAGATCAAAGAGAAAATCCTGCCCATCCCCCTTTGGCCTTCTCCTGGCTTTGGGATCGGTGGGGGATTTTGCAGCTGACGTGCCCCAGGTCCGGACAAGACCTTCATGCACTCCTGGAAAGGAAAAGAGCATCAGAGCTGCCGCTGCCTGGGTCAGCCCCTGGGCCCAGCACACAGGGCAGAGAGCGGCGGCTGGAAGGGAGAGCACCCTGTCTCTGAGCAGGGCTTTCCCCCTGTTCCTCTCCCATTTGCAGCCTCCGGCACTGAAGGTCTAGGATGCTTGGATGCAGAGGCTGTGCTTCTCGCTCCCATACTCAATAGCTTTTGACTCCCATGTTCACCAGCCACTGCATCCAAAGCATCCAGAGGCTGCAGAGGTAAGGGCAGCGTCAGAGCCGGAGCAGACAAACTGGGACACCAGTAGCCTGGTGTAAATCAGCAGACTGCGGTGGAGCCGAGAGCCCAGCCCTCCGTGCACCGACCGCAAACACAGGCCAAAGCTCTCTAATTGGATCTTGCAAACAAAACCGGGCAGCTGCTGCCCTGTCCAGCACTCCTCTATTAGTTCAAATTATTACTATTTGAAGAAATATGTATAAAGCTTGACTTTCTTGTTTGGAGAGAGGGAAGGATTAGAGGGGCTTCCAGGAGTCTTTCCTTGGACTTGCCAACCAATCCATCAGACAAAGGGCAGCAGAGAACAAGGGCCCCCTCAGCCCACAGGACAAAGCAAACCCAAACCTTGAGCTAAAGTCAAAGGCAACACTTGACAGGCACTTCAAGCTTGTTTGCTGACTTCTCCTAATGGCCTACAATAAAAGTCCACCCAGCTATGTCCCTGCTGGTAATTACTCAGGGCAGCAGCCACATCCTGGAGTGGGAAACCTGGGGAGAAAGGCACATTCCTGCAACTGTGACCATGCGAGGACTATTCAGGTAAACACAGCGCAAGGCAAGATTAAGGCTGGTCGAACAAAACACGCCAGGACGGCTATAAACACAGCGCTGACTGAGTGAATAATAGGTCGTAATCTTCCCACTGCACTTTGCAGATTCGCAGCCCAAGGGAGCCCCCAGCAGAAGCTCGGACTGCGTCTGGAGAGGGGGAGATGCAGTCAGGCAGCGGCTGATGGGTGCCAGGGCCAGCTCCCGGGGGTGTCGGTCAAACCTCGTGGGGTGGGGGGGGACCTGTTGCACCGGAGCGGATCGGGTGCCAACCCCAGGGCTAAGCACAGACAGCTAAAAGCCCAAAGCACAATCGATTCATGGATTCATAGAGTCGGGAGGGATCTCAGTGGGCCATCTAGTCCGACCCCCTGCCCCGGGCAGGCAAGAAAAGGGTCACCAACCCTGGGATGATGTGATCCCAGCCAGGTGCCTGTCCAGTCTCCTCTTGAAGACCCCCAGGGATGGGGCGAGCGCCACCTCCCTTGGGAGCCCATGCCAGATCCTGGCAGCCCTGACCGTGAAGAGCTTTCTCCTAATGTCTGGCCTACACCTGCTCTCCAGTAGCTTATGGCCGTTGCTCCTTGTCGCTCCCGGGGATGCCCTGGGGAACAGATCATCGCCTACTTCGTGTTGCTCTCCTCTTATGCATTTGTACCAGATCCCCTCTCACCTTCTCTTGGAGAGGCTGAAGAGGTTAAGGTCCCTTAGCCTTTCCTCGTAGGACCTTTCCTGCAGGCCTTTAATCAGATGAGTGGCTCGTCTTTGGACCCTCTCCAGGTTGTCCGCATCCCGCTTGACCTGCGGCGCCCAGAACTGGACACAGTACTCCAGCTGCGGCCTGACCACTGTCGCACAGAGACGGAGGATCACCTCCCGGGACCTGTTTGTGAAGCACCTACGGATGCACGACAAGGTGCGCCTGGCTCTGCCGACTGCTTCATCCCGTTGGCGACTCGTGTTCATCCTGGGGTCAACCGTGACTCCAAGATCTCTTTCTGCCTCAGCGATGCTGAGACGGTCGCCCCCCAGCCTATAGGTCTGATGGCGGTTCTTCCTCCCTAGATGCAGCACCTTGCACTTGTCCTTATTGAATTGCATCCTGTTGCTCTCCGCCCGCTTCCCCAACCTGTCGAGGTCGGCCTGGATCTGGTTCCTTCTCTCCAGGGTGCTAGCTGCACCCCGTATTGTAGTGTCATCCATGCATTTGGACAGGGTGCTTCCCGCCCCCTCGTCCAGATCGCTGATGAAGATGTTGAACAGCGTCGGCCCCACCTGAGGGACTCCACTGCCCACATTTTTCCAGGTTGACACTGACCCATCCACTACCACCCTCTGAGTGTGACCCCTGAGCCAGTTTGCTACCCATTCTACTGTATAATCATCCAAGGAAAATCTCCTCAGTTTATTAATAAGGATGGTATGTGATACCTTGTCAAAGGCCTTCTTGAAGTCCAGAGAGATAACATCCACCTCGACTCCTGCATCTAAACAATTGGTGCCTTGTCGTAAAAGGAAACTAGGTTAGTCCGGCAGGACCCGACCCGCCTGCTAAAAACCCATGTTGGTTGCCCCTCCGCATCACATTAGCCAGCGGGCTCCCACGGATGTGATCCTTGATCATTTTTTCAAGGGTTTGGGGACAGAGGTAAGGCTGGCTGGTCTATAGTTCCCCGGGTCCTCCTTACTCCCCTTCCTAAAGATTGGGATGACGTTAGCCCTCTTCCAATCCTCCGGGACCTGACCCGAGCACCATGAGCGCTCATATGTCCTTGCCAGTGGTTCAGCTATGACCCCCGCTAATTCCTTCATTGCCCGTGGGCTCAGTCCCTCCGGTCCCGGTGATTCGAACATGTCCAGTCCCTCCAAGTCGGCTGATGTTCCCCTTGTTGGTGTCCGCGATGCATATTGAGGGTTCGTCTAGGTTCCCTTTTAAGAAGACGGAGGCAAAAAACTCGTTGAAGAGCTCTGCTTTGTCCCTGCTATCCGTCACTAAGCCCCCCTGCCTGTCCTGTATGGGTCCTATGCTACCCCGCACACTCTTTTTGCTCCCAACGTACCTAAAGAAAGACTTTCTTGTCCTTGATCCCTGCCGCTAGCCTGAGCTCTAGAGCTGCCTTGGCCTTCCCGACCGACTCCCCGCAGGTGCGGGCCGAGGACGTGCACTCCTCCTTGCTAGCTACCCCCTGCGTCCACTTCCTGTACGCTACTTTTTTTGCCCTTAATGTATCCTGGATGTCCCTGGTTAGCCAAAGGGGCTTCCCAGCCCCTCTGCCCCCTTTCCTCAGCCAGGGGATTGTCTCACTCTGAGCCCAAAGAATGGTTTCCTTGAGGAATGACCACCCGTCCTGCACCCCCAAAGCATCTAGGCTCTTGGTCCCTAATACCCTGCTAACCAATCCTCTGAGCCTATTAAAGTCAGCCTTTTTAACGTTTAGCACCTGTGTCCTGCTGGGTATAGTACCCGCCCTTCTCTGGAGAGTGAATGTTATCATCGGGTGATCGCTGGCCCCTAAGTTGCCTTGAATCCGCAGGTCCCCACCAGGTCATCCCCTGTGGCCAACACCAAGTCGAGCAAGGCGTTACCGCTGGTGGGACTCCTCACCTCCTGTGCCAGGTGGAGGTCCTGAATGCAGGGTAAGAGCCTGCGAGAGCGGTTAGATCGAGCTGACGACTTGTCTGGGTCGTTAAGGTCCCCCATGACTACCATGTCTCTAGACCGCACAGCCTCTGAGAGCTGCCTGGAAAATTCCCCATCTAGCTCGTCCTCCTGGTGTGGAGGCCTGTAGTAGACCCCCCAGCAGGTCCCTTTCCCCTCGACCCCCTTGGAGCCTCACCCGCAGAGTCCCTGCTTGCCCGTCCTCTGATCCCAGTTTGATTAGGGAAGGTGTGTACCGTTCTTTGACATAGAGAGCAACACCTCCTCCTTTTTCCCCTTCTTTCTGTCTCCTGTACAACCCATAGCCCTCTATTCCTACCACCCAGCCACGAGCAGGGTCCCACCAGGTTTCCACTAGACCCGCTCGGTCAAAGTTATTGCTCGCAGGCAAGAGCTCCTGCTTGTTTCCCGTGCTCCTGGCATTAGTATATATACACTTCATTCCCCGGCAGCTGCCCCTAGACCGCCCCTAGACTCCTGTCTACTAGGTTCTTTGATACTCACCTGGGCTCATCTTGGGCAGTTTGGCCAGCGGGGTACCTCTGCCAAGCCTCTTCCCAGCTCCTCGGGTCTTGCCTCCATCACGGAAATAGCTGGAACTCAGCAATTTCTATGGAAAGGCTGAGCAAATTTGATATTTCTAGCTACTCAGCTCTGGTGCCTGTGGTTGGGCTCCTAAGTCCTGCAGGTAGCTAAAAGTCTCTAGATAAAGTATAAACCTGGGAAACAGAGGAGCTTTTGTAGCCTGACTGCATCCCTACCTCTCTCATTCTTCACGGGACAAGCGGTGCCTTCCCAAGGGTCCTCTAGACATCCAAGGACAACAGTGGCTCTGAAAATATCCTGAAAAGGATGGCAAGGTGCTTTGGGTGGATGCGGTATCTTTTATTAGACCAGTTAAATAGTTGGAAAAATTGTTCTTTGCAAGCTTTCGGGGCCCAAACACCCTTCTTCAGGCACCGGGAGAGTATATAACCAATAATCCTGAAAAGGATAGCGCTTTACCACTCCGGTCGCTGGCTTTGCTGCAGCGCGGTGTGTGCAACGGGCCAGAGAAAATCAATTGGACACTGCGGTGGAGAGAGAAGGGTCAGGTTTTTACTCCCGGTAACCTGGTGACCCCAATCAATCTCTGTCCCCAAAACCTTCTGAGGATTTGAGCCTCCCGCCCACAATGAAGCCCCAAGAACTGCAACAGATGTTCCAATCAAAACACCTTTATGAACTATTTATTTTTGG